TTCAGAAACGCCCCAAACCAACGCGTGCCGAGCCCTGGATACACTAGTCAGCTGTGCTACAGGTCTCCGGACTCCCGATCCTCGAACACGCCACGTACTGCTGACCATGCGAAAAACATGGAATTTCCAAGTCCACTCCTACTGTGCGCAGGGACTGTCCTTACGCTTTGTTTACTGTCATAGCGAGTACAGGCCTTACCGGAAACTGCACTTGCTTGAAGTCGAAGGGCATATCGGGGGGAGAAGGGAGGGGATCAAAGGGATTCGTGGAATACGAATGTTTTCACCTTTGATCTTTCCCACCAATATGATCGCTTCTATGACGTTTGGCATGAGGTTTCTGATGCAAATCCTTGTACCATTGCACAACTTCGTTGGATTGATGTTACGAAGGAGCATGATGGCAAACCAACTTTCAGATCAAGTCTGTGAGGTTTGAGTTCGAGTAAATTCAAGAACTCAGTAGGAAAGTAAACACCCTGTGACACATGCTGACAATGCCCGGCTAGCGGGAACGAAAAGATCACTCCTGAAGCTTGGAGGGTGACGTCACAATTTGAACGGCCCCGCCCACCTGCAATTTCCCTCCTCGTTAAAGCCCTTTTCGCGGTTTTCGCGCTCTCCAATTTCGGATTTGGCGTAGCGAATATGCCCAGGTAAGCACAAATCTCAAAATCGACCTTTTGGGGACACTGCCTCTAACATTATAGGACTAAGATATGTAGTAACATAGTGGGTAACGTGACATATGGGAACATTCGTTTTTATGCAAAGAAGAAGCAGTAGTAATACATGGAAAGATTCCGTTTAAGTTCAGCACTTGCGAAAAGATATAAAGCCTTTACGAAGGAAGAAACGGTTCGTCGCTCATCGCGGTTAGCGACGACGGCATCGCTGAGTTTGAGCGATGCGCAATATGCCCTGAAGGTACGCCCGTCCAGAAATAACACGCGATTAATCGCGGTGTCTCTGTAGCACAAAGCGGCGGGACCCACAATTTAGCGTGCGTGCGCGGCTGACTCGGAACATATGTCCGAACTGGAAATCGCGTCGCAACTGGAATGCGGGAGTATACCTTAAATTTGTTCAAGTGAGGGATATACGATGTATGGCGATACATTTGTCGCGACCACTTAGCAAACATGTCTATATATGTGTTGCCAAGGAATGTATTAGTGTAGTAGTCGCCCCCCACCCCACTATGTAGTCACACAGTGGATGAATTCGAATTCAAACTGGGGCAGGCCGGTCGCGCGGCAGACACAGTTTCAATTCGAAATTTGCACATGTT